ATACCGTGATAAAAGCATTAGCAATTAATCACAACATGAAAATTTGATACCGGCATATCCCTACACACCATACATGAAAATATATAGTCGCCTTTGTATTTCAGAGCTGGTTTTGTGAATGTTTTGTACAATAGCTAAATGCCATAAAAAGCCAAGGCCGAAACACAGTCATAACAAAAGTACAGTGACGGTAAACAAAAACAGAAGCAATACAATGTCCAGAGAAAACTCGTCTAATTCGGTTATCTAACAGTAGTGACCTGCCTTAACTAACACTTCCTGGGCAGGACTTTAACTTCTGCCCTTTACCAGATCACACTGGTTCATCATCTCATAAACACCTTTCAAATGGCTTAATATGAAACACAAGAGCATACAGTAATGCAAAGCAAAGAAACCAAAATAATACACTCATAATTACATAATCTAAATGATGCTAAAACCAGAAGGTATGGACCAAGGAAACACCTTTATTGCTGTACTGTATATCCTTAATTACATACTGAGAGATTATCGAAAAATTCCTTTTTCTACATATAACCTGAATGGAATGTCATCTGAGGGAGTGTGACAGAAACCAAACATGTTTTCTAGAATCTCCTGTTGTCTTGACAACACTGACAAGCTCATACATGCCCATTAAACTAGAATGAGGGTAAATGAGATATTTTGTAAACAGCTTAATTTGCAGCTGAGTAATTAACTATTTGATTACATAATTAGTAAAAGTACTTGGAATTATTGAGTCATTACCAAAAATGATCACTGTTGATATGTACGTTTTAAATTGTTTTAGATATCCTTTTTTATGGAAGGCAGAATATGCACTGTAGCAATATAGATAACCTCACAAAGGTAACGATCCCTACGGGAGAGGCTTAGCGTCATTACGATAATTGGCTTTGAATATCCCTTTTTAGCAGCCCTTAGCTTGAATAGCTTTTCACCGTGAGGATGCTGACAGGTCACAGTAAATATGATGTATAGCATCAGGAAAACAGTGTGACGTACACGTTAGAATAATCATAATAACATAGAAAGATCAGACGTTAAGAGTCCTTCATTTTATTTAATTGTAGATTTCACTGTAAATTATAAGAACTGAACATGATTTTAGAAAGTATAATAACTGTTAAAAATGTTTGGTTATAAGTAGTCATTCCTCTTTGTGTGAAGTATCATCAAGTGTGTTGAGAAACAAAATAGTGTAGCTAACTAAAGACTTGCTCTTTGTAACTAAGTCAAAATGACATATATGATGAACTCTACAAAACAGAAAACTGTATCGTATAGCCTACACTCTTACAAATCACCACATGATCACATGCTGCCAATGCCAATAAATGCATGTCAGTCTAAGAAATGTAGCTCTTGGATGTGATTTAAAATTGTCATGCTTGAACAATTGAAATCTTTTCATAGTTATAGTCAATTTGGGCTTGTGTTTAAGAGTTACTTCTCCAGTTAGGTTCACCATGCACTTGATAAAGGCTGTTTTTCATACACACCACGTTTCCAAACAGTATATATAAATCCACTTCAAACATATACTTCTACTGACTACTGCTACCAGCATTTAAAACCACAATGTTTTTTAAGTATTGTAACTCAAGGTCTTACCTGAGGTTCCTGCTCTCGGCCAGCGTGTGGTGTATCTCTGAGTGACTCCCTCCAAGCGCCTGAGTTTCATGTTCCCCCATTTGTACAACCGTGCGTCACTCTACTCACAGAACAGGAAACCAGTTCAACCACTTTCTACTAAAAATGCAAGAATGCAGATATTCCATGTGCATACCAGAACGATATATGGCGGACAGCTCCCAACTATCCTCCCCTGGTGACTGAATATTCTTCAAATCCACCCAAGGCTGCAGCCAAATCATAATCCGCATTAGTGTCTTAAAAACTGTTGGAATTAGAGGCATGTAGGAGGAACTTCACTGATAGCCAGCCATTCAGATGCATTAAATCTGAAACTATTGAGTTGCTCTGCCATGACCTGTTTACTCAGATGGGATAACCTCCAAATGTACTTTTTCAAGTGGGTAACCCCCTGTTGGTTAATTCATGTATTACCACACACAGAGCACATTTGTTTTATTTATAGTGATTTTAGTCACACGATTTTCCTGAAAGATGATCATACATAATTGTAAAACTGACCTAAAATATGAAGAACAGAGACACTTCTACACTGAACCCAGATTTATAACCATAAAGGACTGACCTAGATTAACATGAAGTAATCCAGAGATTATCACTAATCACGATCCGTGACCACTAGCTAGTGTTTATTTTGGCAGTACAAATACATGTTTCTTCTGGCTTTTTAACTTACAAATCAGTTCAAATACACTTTCATTTGTTTAAATATGCAAAAGGTCATAAAGCAGTGTCTCCAGCCTCGCTCCTGGAGAGCTACCGTCCTGCAGAGTTTAACTCCAGCCCTAATCAAACACTCCAGAACCAGCTAATCAAGGAGTTCAGGGTTACCTGAAAATTACAGGCAGGTGCGTTGGAGCAGGATTGGAACTGAAGTCTGCAGGAAGCAGAAGCTGAGAGAAGGGAGCAGGGTTGGAGACCCCTGGCATAAATATTGACAATGTGCCTATTAATATGAATCGGCAATTTCTGTATATACCTCGAAGACTTGACTAGAAAAAAACTGTTGCATTTTCACCATTAATGCTGAAGAAAAAATGATGCAGTTCAATAAGCACACTGACATTTTGTGACAAGCTATGGGATGAGTTGTCACAATGGAACCTGCCATTAAATAGCCTATTTTTCAGCAACATTTGAACATTTTTCTCCACAATATGTACAGTGAAACTTTCAAAATTCACCTCCAACTTTAACATAAAAATGACCAAAAAGCAATTTTAAATAACTACATTTTATTATATACATTTTATGTCAATCATACACAGCTGTTCCTCCATGTAAATTCAAGCTGCTGCCTCCTTTATTGTATCTTTATCTGTAACAGCATTTGTGGAGTCCCCAGAGCCTTGCTGTTTGACATACTGCAGAAGGAGGGCAGAAAGATGAGCTGGATGGTGAAGTAGCATTGAGACAGTCTGTGAAGTTATCATGGTTAGACCACCAACTAGCTCACCCTGAATAGTGGTCATAGACGGGAGTTTGGAGTAATTGAGAATGCCTTGATATGAAAGCAATGCGTTCTCTATACAAGCACCTGAAAGAAAATGGTCTTTAACTGGAGTCATGTGGATTGTTGTGATGTTTTTATCAACTGTTTGATCTCTCATTCTGACGGCACCCATTCACTGCAGAGGATCCATTGGTGATCAAGTGTTGTAATATTACATTTCTCCAAATCTGTTCCGATGAAGAAACAAATTCATCTACATCTTACATGGCCTGAGGGTGAGTACATTTTCAGAAATGCTTCATTTTTGAGTGAACTATTCCTTTAAGAATGCAAGTTCATGCATAGGACAGTGACACTCACCTAAAAGCACCATCTGAGGACTGTGCCTTAACGTTTGCAGCATCTCTTTAACTTTTGGCTCTTTACTAACAATTATCACAGTCTGGCCAACAAATAGAGGCCACATGTTACTGTAAATGCTGTTGCTGAGAAAGGACCTCGTCACCTACAAAGAATCAAACAACATGTCACACAGCAGTAGCCTACATCTCAATAGTGGTAACCATTACAATAACTTGGCATTACATGGTTTGGGAAGAACTTGACACTGATATTGTGCCTTTTCAGTTTGTGTTTCAGCACCATGAGGTCCTCTGCATTGATTGCATTGTTTTGAACCATGGCAATCATCTTAAATTCCTTAAACAAGGTTTCTAGGTATTTTCTCAACAAAACTGCCAGAGCACTTTCCTAAAAGGAAAGAGAGTAGAGATATACATATGTATGTTAATGGAACACTTAGAATTACACACTTAAAACACTATATATATTTTATAATATATATTATATAATACATATTATTTTATATTATCATTGTACTTGATAAATATTTGTTAAAGGGACACTTAAAATGACACACTTAAGATAGTGTTCTGTAAGTATAACAATGGTCGACTTCTTCAGTCTGCCTGACTCGTGGAGCCAGAGCACCAGGAGGAGCTGCAGGTGTTGGGGGAATGTACTCTGTGACAGCCATCAGCTTCTGCTTGAGAAAGTGTACTGGCTTTCTGTGACAAGTGACAGCTTTGGATCCGTGACGAACAATCTGGCTTAATGGCAGCCAGCCATCCTGTAGGTTGACAATGACATGATAAATATTGGTCAGAATAACATTAAGGCTAGAATATGTACATTAACATTCAAAGTTCACTAATGTCATGAGAACATCATATGTGGTGTTTTAATCATGAAAATAGATACAGGGGTTTGCCGAAAATCCAAAGTGGCAGCATGCATACATGGATAACAGAATGATAAATATGAAGAGATAAACCAATCAACATTAAGTAAACAGAGAAGAGTTGAACATACATTGCCAAGCACCTCAAATATGAGTTGCGTATTCTCTGATAGATGATGATTATGCTGTCCAGTTCCACAATATAGCTTCATAGTGACTTTCAAGTGCATGCAATTTTACAATGGAGTTCATAGTTTAAATGTAAATGGCAGGTATTTGCTTATTTATGTTATTCGCTAATAATATGTTTTGCTATAATATCAAACCAGAATCGTACCCGATTTTGGGAGAAGCCTGCTACACAAGGTCGCTGCCATCTTGATCCGGATTTGACGTGTGACATTTTTGTTGTATCGTGCTTACAAAATAAAAGTTAATATGTTGTTATGTTTAAAAAAATAAATAATAAATTAAAAGTTAAAAGAAAAATACCCCCCAAATTCTTTTTTTATTTTTGGGGGGTTGTTTTAATTTTGAAAGTTGTAAAAAAATACAATTTAATGTTTAAATGTTGTCGTTCATATTAAGGTAATTTAAAAAAAATAATTAATTATTGAATATAAAGCTATTGATTAATTTACTAACGTATTCATTTTTTATATTTTGTTCATTCCAAAATTAGAGGTTAGTTACAAAACCGAATACGTTTTCATAACATTTTACGTAAGAGCACGAACGTGATGACGCAGGTTTGGAGTTGCAGGCATGAAATATCAATCGCGCTTCTTCACGTCCAGGAACATCGGCAATATTGTGAAGTTTATTGAGCCCAGTGTTACATTGACAATCCGCAGTACTCCGTCATTTACCTCGTTTTTCTGCAGGAAATTTACGGACAGCGGCACCAACATGGATCTGAGTAACATGAGAAAGAGCTATAAGAGCGATCAGGAGGTGAGACGCGTTTTTGGTTTGTGAGGGATTTTTTGTCAGGTCACGTGTATGTATGACCATGACCTGAGAACTTTTTCAAAAGACATGCAGAGTATCATATCATGATTTTTACATCAAAAAGCTAGATATGCAGAGTCGTCATTTTCTGTATTAATGTATAAAACCGTATCAATGTGATTCTGAAATATTGGGCATTTTATTTATGATCTGCAACTGACTTGCGTGTTTATCAAATGCATTTTCAACAAAAATAAAAATAACAATGCATGCATCAGTTGACCTTGAAAGGAGGACCTCCATCAATCACTTACTAATTAAGATGATATGAAAAGAGTCAACACTATTATGAGAGAGCCTTTGACCATTAAAAATGCTTTTATGCCAGTTATGCATGGGTTAGTGTTACAGTAATAGCAAATTTGGTAAATATCTCTTTAAAGATCTTATTGGCTAAATGCAGTAACAACACAGTAAAGGACACTACTCGTACAGATATGGGGTCTTTAAACCTACTTTGCCATATATGTCACAGCAGTAAGCCGTGAAATTTTAAAAGAACATAAGATAAATGTGTGCGTGTGCTATCCCTCATTTTCATCCTACAGTGTTTTGAGGAGGCTCAGCTTACTTCTTTAGATCCAATTAAACAATTCGGCAGCTGGTTTGATCAAGCCACTAAGTGCCCTGAGGTGGGAGAAGCCAATGCAATGTGTCTTGCAACAGCGACCAAGTAAGAATGGATGTTGTGTGGTTCATCAATACCTGGAAATAAACAGAGCAACTTAAATACAATGCATATACATACTTAATACGCTTTTGAAATTTGGTCAAAATTGGCCCTTCTTCTCTAAAGGGACGGTCGCCCCTCTGCACGCATGGTTCTTCTAAAAGGCTACAGCGAGGAGGGATTTCGCTTCTTTACCAACTATGAGAGTCGGAAAGGTGCAGAGTTGGTGAGTCTTTAAAACCAAATTTTGTTCAGTAAATGTCCATATGGGTTTACCTTTGCATCTTTGTCTTTCTCACGTTTTATTTTATTTATTTTTTGTTTTTGCAATCATATAGGACTGCAATCCCCACGCCTGTCTTGTATTTTACTGGGAACCATTAAACAGACAGGTAAGAGTTGTGTTTTTTTTTTTTAGAACTCAGAATCTTCTCCAGCTAATTCTTTGTATATCAGATCATAGAATATTTCACTTTGGTTTTGGTTTTAATCGTATCCATATTTCAAAGTTTAAATGACAAAAAATGTAACACATTTTGTATGTAGTTTTTGACCACACTGTATTTTTTTGTTTTGTATCCTAACAGATTCGCATTGAAGGCACTGTAGAGAGAATCCCGTACGAGATTTCATGTGATTATTTCCACTCAAGACCCAAGAGCAGTCAGATCGGTGCTGTTGTTAGCAGGCAGAGCACAGTAATACCGAGCCGACAAGTGAGTAGCACTATCACCACCATCCCGGGTTATTATCATTCATTAAAACTATGGAAAATATGTGTTAATTGAAATAAAGCTGAAATAAAACAAATGTGATCTTTGATGTTCGCTCACTTAGAACATGCATCATTTGGATTAAAACTTAATCTTAAAAATAAGACCATTTATATGGGGCATTTACTATAAACATAATCTGTTTTCAACCTTAGGCATACACGACTTTCTGGCGAAAGTGAAACTAACAGCCTGTGTGAAATGCGCTAGGCTGTACTAT